ATGTTTGCTTCAGCTCTCTGAATAAAAAAAAAAAAAAAAAAGGAGGGGCCCGCCCCGGTGGCCTAGTGGTTAAGTTCGGCATGCTCCACTTTGTCAGCCTGGGTTTGGTTCCGGGGCACTGACCTACACCACTTGTCTGTCAGTTGCCATGCTGTGGTGGCGGCTCGCATACAAAAAGAAGATTGGCAGTGGATGTTAGCTCAGGGCGAATCTTCCTCACTAAAATAAATAAATACAAACAAACAAATAAATAAAATTTTAGAAAAAGGAAAGAAACATAGCTAACCCCAACTCTCTCCTTTCCCTTTTTCAAAGATGTAACTTCTATTTTGTGTATTTTAAAAATTATCATAAATGATATCATATTAGAAGTATTCTTTTGTTAGATGCTTTTTATATTCAACATTACATTTTAAGTATCTATAGTGATATATTTTGATCTAGGCTATTTATTTTTGTGATTTAATATCATGTTAGGAATTGAACTCGGTCATCAGATTTTCTGGGTTTAAAATCTGAGTCTACTATTAACTAAGTACATGAAGTTGGGCAATTTACATAATCTCTTTGAGTTTTGATTTTCTCATATGCAATATGGGAAAAAGAATACCAACATCACTGAGCTGTTGTGAAGATTAAGGAGGCAATGCAGTCAGAGTATATAGGGTGGTGCACTAGTTTGCTAGACCTGCCATAACAAATGCCACAGACTGGGTGGCTTAAACAGCAGAAATTTATTTTCTCACAATTATGGAGTCTGGAAGTCCAAGATCAAAGTGCCTGCAGGTTTGGTTTCTTCTGAAGTAGAAGGCTGTCTTCTCGCTGTGTCCTCACATGGTCTTTTCTCTGTGTACATGTAGCCTTGGTGTCTCTTTGTGTGACCAAATTTCCTTTACTTATAAAGACACCAGTCAGATTAGATTAGGGTCCAACCTAATGGCCTCATTTTAACTTAACCACTTTTTAAAGGCTGTATGTCCAAATACAGTCACATTCTGCAGTTTTAATTTAAATGCAGTGAAATTTCTAAATATTATCATTAATAGTTTGTGTTTTTTGTCTTAAGAAATCTTTTCCTACCACAATTCATCAAGATATTATCCAGCCTTTATATGTAGCAAACTGAATCTCACTTCATCATTTCTCTTCTTCCATTTTGCTTTCATTATTTTTGGCCTTTTATTCTTCTGCATGAATTTTATGATTAGCTTGTTAAGTTCTTTAAAAATTCTTATTTGGATTTTGATAGTCATGAGGTTTATGACAATGTATACATTACTTAGAATGAAAAATTGCTATTTTTATATAGAATTTTTTCAACCCATGGACATGAAATTTCTTAATTCATCTGGGTATTCTTGTGTGTCCTTCAATAAAGTTTAATAAATTTTCTCTGAGAGGCATTACATACATTTTGCAGTTATTTCTAGGTCTTTATATTTTCCATTGCTATTAGAATAGTATTGTTAGAAATATATATTTTCTAATCACTTTTGGCTGAAATTTAGGAATAATATTGTTTTTTATATCTTGATTTAGTATTCAGAACATTTGCTGAAGAGCAGTTCTGGGAGTTTGCCTGAAGATTATTTTTGGGTTTCTGTGTATAAAAGTACATCATTTGTGAATATAGACTGGTTTATTTCTTCATGACTATCCTTATACATTTTCTTTTCTTGTCTTATAGCGTTGCCTAGGACCTCCAGTACAATATTGAGGAGAATGGGATTAGAATATTTTTTTGTCTAGTTCCTGTTTCTAAAAGGATTGCTTCTAATGATTCATCATTAAAAAGGAGGTTTTCTTTAGTTTTTGTTTGTTTTATAGTTATTCTTAAAAATACCCTTCTATTTTGTTAAAGTTATGAATGGGAGTTAACATATGCTTTTCTCTATATATCTATATCTTTATCTATATATATCTATATCTATATCTATCTATCTGTATCTATATATATATAGATCTATCTATCTAATATATCTTAACCAAAACTTGTTCACCCTGCTGTAATTTTTATACCTCACTAGAACTCATTTTCTAATATTTTGGGTATTTATGATTTCTCTGTCTCCCTTCATAATTTAGAATGATTTATAATTTGCTTTTTTTTAATAAGTCCTTACTTAGATTTTTTATCAAGGTCTGTATCTTTGAAAATGAATTAAGGGTTCTTTTGATCTTTCATTATTCTCTGGAATAGTTTATGAGATATAGCTTATCTGTTTTTTGAAAGTTTAACAGAAGTTACCTACAAAATAGATCCAGCTTGTTTGTTTGTTTGATTTATTATAATGAGTTTTTTAATCTATTGTATTCCATTACTTTAAAGAAACTTCAGGAAGAGAAGCGCCAAGTCAGTTCCGGCGGCGGAGAGCGCAGTGAGAGGCGGAGCGGGCCTCGTCCCCGGGCCAGCGGGTGAGCTGGGGCCCCGGGCCGGCGGGTGAGCTGGGGCGGGGGGACAGGCCGCGGCTTCCGTCCTGCAGAGACCCAGCGCCTCGGCCGGGCGACCTTGCAGCAGCAGCGACCCTCTCGCCACCCCGCCTCCGCGACCTAATGGCGGCGGCCTCCCCGACCCCGGACTCTGCCGGCCGCCCGGTCTCCCGGCCCAGCCTCGCGGAGCCTCGGGGACCCCGCGCCAGGCCGCCGAGGACGCGGTGCCGCTGGGCGTCGGGCATGGCGGGGCGAGAAGCATGGCGGCCGCTCGGACAACGAGGAGGGCCGTTAGGGCCCCGGGGCCCGGGAAGGCGGCTCCGCGTGAACGCAGGCCTGGGCCTCGGAGCCGCGCAGATCCCGGACGTGGGACGACGTCTCCCCTCGTGCGGACGACGACGGACAGAGGCCTTCACGGGCCCTGAAGGTGCGCGGAGCGCCGTCGGGGACGGCTGGAGCGTTAGCGGGCCGTCGGGCGGGTGGCCTTCGTTCCGTCGGACCTGGACGTCGGGAGATAGAAATGGCAGAAAAGCAGACCACATTTGGCCCATAAGAAGTGACCACCACCGTTGGGGAAGATTTACTGGCCGTTTATGGAAGGCCTGTGTATGTAATATGAAAAAGGTGCTCTCAACCTTCCCCTCGACCTTTCCAAAGAAAACTTGTGCCACATCTAGGCGCCCTGGATGTAAAGAGGTTGCCGAAGTATGATAGCGTTAGAAAATGACACGTCTTGTAAATGCCCGTTTGTTTTTCAAAAAGTTGTAGAAAAGAAACGTGTTCTGGAAATGACTTTTTGAAATGGAATTGTTAGACCAGCACCAGAACTGACGTCAGGAGCGACACACGTCCACGTTTGTTCAGTGGGTTAGAGGACGTGGAGTGGAAGGACCTTGAGGAGGAAGAAAACAAGGGTCTGTGCCAGACGGGTCATATTTAGAGGACATTTTCATGTTATAACCATTGTTTTGTGTGTGCCTTTTATTCCTCACTACTGTGTATATACTTGACAGTGTTAAGTACTTTCTTAGAATATCTAGTCTTGGGGCCAGCCCAGTGGTGCAAGCTGTTAAAGGGTTAAGTGCGGCCCGGGGTTCCGGGAGGAATCCCTGGTGTGCACTGGCGCGCCACTTGTCAGGCCATGCTGTGGCGGTGTCCCACGTAAAGTGGAGGAAGATGGGCATGGATGTTAGCCCAGGGCCAGTCTTCCTCAGCAAAAAGAGGAGGATTGGCAGATGTTAGCTCAGGGCTGATCTTCCTCACCAAAAAAAAAAAAGAAATCTAGTCTTTCTAGATGTTCTGAAGTGCCTGATATATGTTAAAAGTAGAGGTAGCAAAAAGACATTTTGTAAATATCATTTTGTTAAGATTCATATGAATTATTGTTTGTTTTTGGGGGAATGGCCAGACCACCTCTTTGAATAGTACACATTGTGCTTGTGCACTGGTTCAAGGGAGGAGAAGGAAGTGCAAAGAGCTCTATGCCAGTGTGTTTATAGTGAGGCAAGATGAACCATTTTCGCTTATGTTCCTGCATTTTGTTTTACTTTGCTGTGTATATAGTGTATATAATGGACAAATGAGTCCTAATTTACAACATCTAGTCGTTCTAGATGTTAAAGAGGTTGCCAGTGTATGACAAAAATAGAGTTAGTAAACGAATACATTTTATACATTTTGTGTTAAAATTCCTAGGAAAGATTGTCTTCTGAAAATCTGAGTGTTCTAGCCCTCTGGGTTGGTGGAGGAAGGAGAGAGGGGAAGGGTTGGTCTTAGGCTAGAATGTTCATATTTCAAAGACACTTCCAGATTCTGTTAGATGTGTGCAGTTTATTCAAGACCGTTGTGTATATAGTGGACAAATTAAGTGCTTATTTGAAACATCTAGTCCATCTGGATGTTCAGAAATGCCCAACGTATGTTAAACGTAGAGGTAGTAAAATATCACTTTGTAAATATTTTTTTGCAAAAATTCATGGGAAATATTGCTTTTTGGAAATGGAATTGTTAAACCCACTCGGTGAGTAGTGTACTGTCTATACTTGCTCAGTGGTTTGGAGGAGGAGGGAGGAGGGAAAGAATTGCAAATGGTAATACGCTAGTGTGTGTATACTTGGGCATTTTCAGACAAAACCATTTTTTGTAATGTGCATTTTGTTTTACTGTGTATGTAGTGTACATAATGGACAAATGAATCCTAATTTTACAACATCTAGTCTCTAGATGTTAAAAGAGGTTGCCAGTGTATGACAAAGTAGTTAGTAAAATTAGCACATTTTGTACCCTGTGTTGAAATTCATAGAAAAGCTTGTCTTCTGTAAATGACTTTTGGATGTGAATTGCTCTAAGCATTACTTGTGTCTATACTCGTCCACTGGATTGGTGGTGGAGAGGAGGAGGTAAAGGGAGGAAATGGTTCAGGCCAAAATGGTCATATTTAGAATATACCTCAGTTGATAACCATTGCTATGTGTGTGCAATTTTATTTAACAGTGCTGTCTACATAGTGGACAAGTAAGTTCTTATATGAAATATCTAGTCTTTCTAGATATTTAGAAGTGCTTGATGTATTTAAAAGTAGAAGTAAGTAGAATAACACTTCTTGTAAATACCTTTTAAAAACTGTTGGGAAATATTGTCTTTGGAAATGGAATTGTTAAACCACCTCTCTGAACAGTATACTCTGTACTTGTTCATTGGTTTGAGGGAGGTGGGAGGGAAGAAATTGCAAAAGATGTTGTGCTAGTGTGTACTAGAAAATTTCAGCTTGTCCGTTGCCCTGTATGTTATGTGCATTTCATTTAACTTTACTGTAGATATTGTGTATATATTGGCCAGTGGGTCCTAATTTTATAATATCTAGTCTCTAGATATTAAAGAGGTTGCCGATGTATGACAAAAGTAGAGTTAGTAAACTAACACATTTTGTACACTTTGTGTTAAAATTCATCGAAAGGCCGTCTTCTGAAAAGGACTTTAGAAATGAAATTGTAAAATCACATCTAAGTGACACATGTGCCTGTACTCACCCATTGGGTTGGTGGTAGAGAGGAGGAGTTGGGAGAAATGAAGGATTCTAGACTAGAATGTTCCTAAATGGAAGACACTTTCAGATACAATCATTGTTACATGTGTGTGGTTTATTCAACACTACTGTGTGAAGAGTGGACAAATATAAGTCGTTATTTGAAACATCTAGTCTTTCTAGATGTTTAGAAGTGCACAAAGTATGTTAAAAGTAGAGGTAGTAAAATAACACATTTTGTAGATACCCTTTTGTTAAAATCATATGAAATACTGTCTTTTAGAAATGGAATGATCAAACCACCGCTCTGAGCAGTACACTTTAATATATTTGTGTGGTTTGGGGAGGAAGGAGAAGAAAGTACAAAGGGCTTTATACCAGTATGTTTATAGTTAGGCAAGATTAACCATTGTGTCATTAAGTCTGCATTTTGTTTTACTTAGCTGTGTAAATAGTGTATATAGTGTATATAAAGGACAAATGTCCTAATTTACAACATCTAGTCTTTCTAGATGTTAAAGAGGTTGCCAGTGTATGACAAAAGTAGTTAGAAAACAAATATTGTGTACACTTTGTGTTAATAGGAAAGACTGTTCTGAAAACAACTTGAGGAAGTGAAATAGTTAAAATTCCCTCTGAGCATTACAAATGCTTATTGTGCTTGTCCCCCGGGTTGACATAGATGAGAAGGGGAAGGGTTCTAGGCCAGAATGTTGCTATTTAGAAGACACTTTGAGATCATAGCCTTTGTGTGCAGTTTATTCAGTGCTACTGTGTATATAATGGACAAACTTAAATCCTTGTTTGAAACATCTAGTCTTTCTAGATGTTTAAAAGTGAACAACATATATTAAAAGAAGAGAGTTCAAGTAATACCCTTTAAGTGTTTTTTCAGTTAATTTGTAGGAATGGTTGTGTTTTGGGAATGGGATTGTTAAACTTGATGTCTTGGAGAGTATGCTGACTGTTCACTGGGTGTGGGAGGGGTGGGTAGGGAAGGAAGTGCCCAGAGGAGGGTTCTGTGCCCATGACTCCTTAGACAAGTTCAGACTGTCTAATGATTGTTCTATATGTGCATTTTAGTTAATATTGCTATGTGTTAAAGGATAAACAAGTCCTAATGCCCAAACTATGTTAAAAGTAGAGGTAGTAAAACTTGTATAAATGCCCTTGTGTTAGTTTTTTGGAATGACTGTCTTCTCAGAGTGTCTTTGTTAATCCACCTCTTGGAGCCGGATGTGGTCCTATACTTAGTCATTGAAGTGGTGGAGGAGGGAGAAGAGGAAGGGTGTAGGGAAGGGCTCTTTGCTAGTATCTCCATATCTAGAAGACAGTTTTAAGTAATAACTGTAGGTCTATAAGTGCATTTTTGTAAAGTACCTGTGTGTATTGTAGACAGGGTTCATTATTTTGCAGCATCTAAGCTTTTCAGATGTCTTGAGGTGACAATGTATGATAAAAAGTAGAGCTAGTGAATTAACCAATTCGTAAATATCTTTTTGTTGTAATTGATAGAAAAGAAGCATCTTGGACATGGAGTTGTTAAACCATCGCTGAGAAATATACAGCGGGACTTGTTCGTTAGGTTGGCAGCAGAGGGGCAAAAGGAAGTATGGGGGAGGCATGTATGCGGATGTGTTTGTATTTACACTTTGGTGATAGGCATTGATCTGTGTGCACCTCTTTTGGCTGTACTATAGGAATACATTGTTAAGTAATTCAATGGAAACATACCTCCTTGCTAATAATAGTATAGATCGGATATCGGGTTCTCTTAGAAGTATTATATTTTGTGTACTGTTGCTTTATGTCTCATTTTTAATTGAACATTAAGGGAATGCAGTATTTTAATCATAACGCTGCCAATATCTTTATTTAGAGGGCTGTTGCCATTTTTGTTGCCAAGAAAGGCAGGATTACATTTTTCTTCCAGATTGAGTTGGTGTAGTGTATTCTTGGTTATCAAAATACTCATATAGGTTTGAGGCTTTGAAATGGTAAATATTTGTGATGTGTGAAAAAGCATGATACATAACTGTATAACCTTCATTCGATAAAAATAGATGCTTAGTTGTGTAGATGAACACACAGGGACCTAGAAGGACATGTCAAACTGTAAACTGCTTGTGATTGTGGATGACTTTGTTCTTTGCTTCTTGTGTTTTTCAGTTTCTTATTATTCACTTGTTAACTTTTAAAAAATACATGTTATTTGGAAAACCTTAAAAAAAAAAGCTTCATTCTTTTTTTTCTCAGTCAGTTTTTGTTATATTTTTTATGGAAATTTTTCCAATCTAAGTTAGAAAATTTCTGGACATAAATTATTGGTAGTACTCTGTTATGATTTTCAGAATCTGTAAAATCATACTTTTGCTTTTATTCCTAATATAATTTTTTAATGTATTCTCTCTCTCTTTTTAAATAAAACTTGCCAGAAGTTTATCTATTTTTTTAAGTCTTTAGAAAAAAGCTTTTGGTTGTGTTTTTAAAACACCTCTCATACGGGCCATAAAGTTACATTTTGGTCCCATGATTTAGAGAGAGCATATATCAATAATAAATTCTTGGCATATAATTAATCTTTCCATAGACTATATTCTAAAGATCTGTTCAATGAATTTTAAGGGCTGTCTACCTCCGGCATGTTTTTACTCACAACACTTCTGACACCAAATGTGTGTGGGTTTTTCTTACACCAAGCAATTTGGATCCAACTCTTCAGACACTAACTGGGTGTCCTACAATCCGATTAATTTGGACACGAACTACCAAAGTTAGTGTCAGCATCCACTTCAGACGCCAGTTACAAGTATTGGGTCCTCAGGTTACTCACACTTCTGTCTGACTTGGGGCTTCTCACAGATTCCTTTTTCTCAGGCTTGATAATTTGCTAGAATAGCTCACAGAACTCAGGAAAGTCCTTTTCTTACTATTACTAGTTGTTATAAAAGATACAACTCAGGAAGAGCCAAATGGAAGAGATGCATAGAGAAAGCTATTGGGGTGGATGGCGGGCATGGAGCTTCTTTCACCTAGGCATGCCACCCTCCCATCACCTCAATGTGTTCACCAACTTGGAAGCTCTCCGAACCCTGCCCTTTAGGGATTTTTATGGAGGTTTCATTACATAGGCATGATTGGCCATTGGATTAACTCAATCTCCAGTCCCTCTCTCCTCCCCAGAGGCTGGGGAGTGAAACCGAAAGCTCCAGTCCTCCAGTCATGCCTTGGTCTTTTTGGCAACCAGCCCATATTCTGAAACCATCTAGGGACCCCTAGCAACCGGTCATCTCATTAGCATAAATCCAGAAATGGCTTATTGTGAATAATAAAAGAAACTCCTCTCACCCCTATCACGTAGGAAATTTCAAGGGTCCCAGAAGTCCTTGTGCCAGGAAACAAGACAAAGATCAAACATACATTTCTCATTATATCACAATATCACACTATCATATGTTAAAAATTGGGCGAGGTGCAGGGGCTTTTGGGAATTTGCAGTTCTCACTCTGATTGCTGATCATCTAATGGAATGATAGTCATATATTTTAATAACGTCAATATTGTGTGGAAAATGCTGGAACTGAGCTCTTGAGTCCCTCTTCCCTTAAAGCTCTGCGTGTCCATAAATGGCATTGCCATTTGCTCCACTGCGCAGGCCAAAATGCTGGAAGTCATCTTTGACCCTCCTCTTTGACTCTCTCTTTCACATTTTGCATCCATCCATCAACAAATCCTATTATGTTCTGTCTTCAAAATATGTTCCAAACCTCACCACTTCCCACCACTCCACTGCTACCACACCCAAGCCACCATTGAACCCTGAACCATTGAATCTGTCTGGTAATTGGTCTTCCTGATTCCATACCTGCCATTAAAGTTTATTCTCAATAGAGTAGCAGAGGGATTCTTTTAAAAGAGAAGTCAGATGATTCATTCCTTGATTAAATCCCTCCAGTGGCTTCCCTGAATATGTAGAATAAAATCCATTCCTTACCATGCTCTACGAGGCCCATCTCAGTCTGTTCCTTTGCGTCTTCTCTGCGTTTACATCCCCTCACACTCTTCCCCTTGGTCACTCCATTCCAGCCACACTCACCTACTTATAGTTTCTTGAATGCATCGAACATATTTCCTTATGGACTTGGCTCTTGGGGTTCTCTTTTTTTGGAATAATCACTCCCCCTACACCCAATCTTGCTCCCTCAGGTCACTCAGATCTGCTCCTAGTGTCATCTAATCAAGAGGTCTCCCTTGACCTCCCTACTGATGTTATCCTGCCCCCATTATGCCCTTACACTGATTTATTTTCTTCATAGCATTTATCTGACATTAGATTGATTATTTGTTTGTTTGTTTGTTTATCTTCTCTGTCATAGGAATGTAAATGCCATAAGGGTAGGTCTTTGTCTGTTTTGTTGATGTGGCTTTTGCATGCCCCATAATTTCCTGGTTCAATCACTATGCTACTTTCCTGGGTAACAATTTCATATCTTTCCTTCTCGTCTCAAATCTCCAGTATACCTCTCCCCTCTCCTCCACTCTTTTTATTCATGACCTTGTTTCTAACTTCACTGAGAAAGTAGAACTTCTGCGTGCTCTCACCACAGCTTCTACCAACTGACGGTACTCTGCCCTTCTTCCTTTAATAGAGATGGGCATTTAGGATTTTATCAAAGGCCATCCCTTCTCCTTGTGCACTAGATGCATCCCCTTTACCTACTGAATGTCTTGCCTCTAGCAATTGTGTTCTCTCCTGACTCATCAACATATCTGTCCCTCTCTCTCCACTGGATCTTTCCCATCAGGATATAAACATGGTGTTAGAGGTTTTATCTTCAAAAATAAACTTCTGTTTACCCCACATCCCCCTCCAACTACCTCCTCATTTCTGGCTCCCTATATAGCACAACTATATACTTGCTCCTAACTTTTTCTTTTTTGGAAAAGCAATTTGAAAATGAAACCAAGAAATTCAGTTTTAGTGGATCTTGGGTGAAGTTAGGAAATTGCATTATGTATTTTTAAGACTCTCATAGTGCGTGTGTTCAGGATTGAGAACTATTAAAGTTTTTGCATTAGGAACTATTACTAACTGAAGATGACCATAAATGAAAACGAAATTCTCCAATTTTCCTGGAAGTGAGTAGAACAAAGCATTTGATTTATAAGACATATTTAGTTTACCAGAAACATGGTCATGATGGAAAAGCTGGGATATTTCTCTACTATTTCGTTGTTTATTTGACTGTCATAGAAATCTGGGATGAGTAACATGAAATCTTAACACTTACTTTGTCTCTATAGGCTAGTTCTTGCATTCACCAGTCTTATTAACCAGGGGAAGCAGGCCGTAAGAGGTGGGAGGAAGGTATATATAGAAAGAGTATAGTGAAATCATAATTTTTCTACTCACTAATATCGTTTTCCAGACATAGATGACTAAGGTCCATACGTATTCCTGTAAAATTTTCATATTATTTAACACCTTGCCTTTCATGTGGTAGTTGTTCAACGTATAAGTACTGGATAAACAAAAATAGGAAGCTGATCATGTCCATGGGCATCTCCGTGTTTATAATTCCAGAGGCTCTCAGGAAGTTTGTGACATCTAGTGAAAAATGGCTAAAAAGCAGGATAAATTCTTACACTTTAGTTCCTTAGTATATTCATCCATTCATTCCCTCACTCAAATATTAGTTATTTAGTGCCTTTCACATACCAGGCACTGGGATTGGTGCTGCGGATGCAGATTTGGTGTCTGCCCATAGAGATTTTAATCTAGTATAATCATAATCCAGGCAAATACTTTGATGCCACTGGTCTCTGACTATGTGGTTTTCTGAAGGTCATTTCCCTGGTCTATGCCTCAGTGTCTCCACGAGAAAAAAGTATACATTTCCATGGAAGGCTATGAGGATTAAATAAGGAATCATATAAAAATGTTGTTTACAAACTATGAAGGATAGCAAAAAACTTACTTATTACTGCAACAGTTTACATCCTACATTCTTAAAAAGTAAATTAGAAAAAGAGCAAATGTAAAGGGTAAAGTTGAATTGTTTTGCAGTCAAATGGGGTTTGAAAACTGCCAATTGTCACTTTTCCCTTGTCAGAGGGAATATGTCAGAGGGGCCTTTTCAGGTTTGCTGCCATTAAAGATGATTGTTGTGAATGAGAGGCCTGCTTCCTCCTTCAACCATCAAGTGCAAGATCCATCACCTACTACAGATCAAGTTGGCCTCACTGAGCTCATAGTGCTGCGGGGCAGTGTGCTGTTTTTGGGGCTCTTATAGTCTCAGGCACTCTGCTAGGTGTGAATGGTTCCCGAACAAAATAAGCTGGCAATCAAACGTTACCTTCAATCACCAGATTTCTTTGGGTCAGGCCTCTTCTCTGGTGTCCAGCTCCCAGTGGCAAGCCACTTAATGAAATTCCTCCAGAAAATCAGAAACATTATGAACTGCTCCCTACCACCACGGGACAATGCTGTTTTACAAACACTGTCATGTTGCCTTCAGAGAGGCTGATAACTTCAGAAATTAAAAGGATCTTGGAGATCACCCAGGACCGTGATTCCCAAAGGCCGGTGCTCAGCTCAGGCTTGGTCATGATGGCATTTACATCCATCTCATCAGCTCAATATATTCGTTTTAAAGGATCAACCTTTATCCTGTTCTTTTATGAAATGATGGATTGATAGTGATAATAGTAGTAGTTTTCACACGCACACACATACACAGTCACACACACACAAATATAATCCCTGAAACGACAAATTCTGAGAACCAGTTTTGCAGATGGGGAAAATGAAACTCTGAGAAGTGATATGATTTCTCTAAAATGACACAGTCTGTTATTTAAAGTACAGGAGTCAACCTTCGATCTACTGGCTAATGGTTTGGTGCCAAGTGAGGAAATAGAATCACATATAATGAGAAAAGTAATTTTCCCATGTGAAAGAATTGCCAGCTTCTGGAGATATTTTGTTGATGCAGAGCCAATGTGCTTTGTCAATGTCGTGTGGTTCGGCTGAAGGAAAGTCTACCATTGATGCCCGTTCATTTGCCATGCATTCACCTTTTTTTTTTTTTTAACCGTATTGCCAGGAAGGAACTTACAGCATATTGGGAAGGCAATTACGGAAAAGTTTGGTGCTTGTGGTGTGTTAGGACTTGGACTTCATTTTCGCTTTGTTATTGGCAATGTTGCTTAATGTCTTGAACCAATCTCATTACCCGTAAAGTCCTTCTCCACCTGCTAAGCTTCATACAAAGATAAAAAGAGAATACACAGATGAAAATGCTTTGTGAATAGTGTTATGTTCTACAGATTGAAAAAGTTACTATTGACGGTAAAAACTAAAAGTTGCTACCTTTCATTTGATAATAGGCCTGCTCTTATGGGTGGTGGAGAAGAGAGATTCTGAAGCTGTGTGTGGATATGTGTGGGCAGCAGGAACAAGGGACTGCCCTTGCATGAACCTTAGAGCAAGAACCTTCTTACATTTTGTACCCTCGGCGCCCCACTTGCCTCACCCTAGTCCCAGCCCTGTGTGTTTTCTCGGGTGAGGTGGCTTTCTTCAGCTGAGGGCAAGTCCCAGAGAGAGATTTAGCTCAGGGCTGTCAGCTGCCAACATTTCTAGCAGATGAGAGAACGCATGCTTTAGTCCTAGAAGGGGGAATCTGGCCAGCACCCCGCAGCAGCCACTAAACCACTGTGGAAAAGTGTTGGCACCCACCCTATGACCCTATACGCCCATTCTTAGGTGTATTTCCAAAAGAAATGAAAGCAAATGTCCACAAAAATACTTGCACAAGAATATCCATTGCCGTTTCAAATTGGAAACACCCCTTTTGTACAGCAACAGGTAAATGGAGAAACAAACTGTGGTATATTCATGTTTCAATGCTACTCAGCAATGAAAGAATTTCGTGGATAAGTCTCTCAAACACTCTGCTGAGCCAAAAAAAGTGGGTAAAAAATAGCACATTCTGTATGACAATTTATATGATGTTCTAAAACAGGCAAAAACTATTTTATTATAGAAAAATTTTAGAACGGCTATCTCTGACGTGAGAGATTGCCTGCTAAAAGGCCATGAGGGAACTTTCTGGGAAATGGGAATGTTCTATATTTTGATAGAAACTTTGATTATATAGGTGCACACATTTGTCAAAACTCATCCCATTACACACTCAGTATTGTACAGTTTGCTAAATATGAATCTAACCTAAGAAAAAACTCATTTATTTCTGTCTAATTGGGAAAATGCAAATTTTTAAGGCTTAGGATTTAGTCAAGAAGTTACTATTCACATGAAAAGGATTTAAAGCATTTCTCACACTGCTAGAGCATAGGCATCACAGAGAGGCTACTGGCTTCAGATAAAAGTAAATATTGACAACAGAGAGGATAGGACACATGGATCAGAAGGAGAGGATATTGCAGGACTGAGGAAATAGAGGAGGATGCCATCCCCAGGATAATACATAACTAGTGGCAGTCATTTCAGAGGATGTCTCTGCATGGCATCTAATCTCCTAAAGTACAACTAATACAAATTTGGTACTTAAACTTTGAGCAATTATACATGGCCATGGAAATTAGAAGTCTGCTTAAATCATAATAAAGCCTTGAAACCAGGAGTGGCACCTTGGTGTGATGATGTGCCATAGAACTTGGACAATGCATATAAAGGAATTCAGAACAGGTTGGACAATAGAATCTTTTTGGCTCTAAATCATGTAGTTTTTTAGACCAATTCAATTATTACTATCATTTGTAGTATGTCATATGTAGTTGTTCTTGAATTAACAACATAGGAAACAATATATAGTTCTGTTCAATAGTGTGGTTTGGTCACTCTCAAGGAGTTCACTCTAAGGAATAATCCCAGGAATGTCACTGATAAATAAACCCTATTTGATTATTCTAATAAAGATAGAGGTCACAATCACTTCAACAGCTTCCCATACATAATATCATTTAACAGTCCTATTTCTGCCTGAATTTATTCATTGGTATTACTGTGTGTTTTAAAGAATTTTAATTTACTAAAGTGGAAACCAACCAAAATAAGAATATTATATAAAATTCCACCAAGTTCTCATCCCACAAATTGCCCTGCGTTGTTTCCAGCTGTTGGTACCTCTGAGAGTTCTTCTCAAAGCACTCATGACTGTTTGTATGTTCTATGGCTAGACTGGGTGAGGGGAGGGAGAGGAAGATGATTTGTCTAAAGCTTTATACAAAAATATGCCCCGACTTTAATCTGCATCAGAGTTCCAATTGGTCAGTGGTCAGCTCCACTTTAAAAAGTCACCCTTTCATAAATTTTTCTTGCTAATTATGTCAGAAATTTTGTCATTAATTCATTCAAATTTTTATGCTTAAACTACTTATCAAGCACCCACTATGGGCCACATATTAGCATCGGATACTAATGTGATATAAAGAAAAATAAGTCATCATCGACTGAATTCAAGGTGCTTACATTTTATCAGAGATAAATCTGAACACAAGGAAATTAACACAATGTTAATTTACTTAAACATGTTTCTGTTAAGGTTACTTTGAAAAATGGCGTTGGAGCCGAAAGCACAAAAAGTAAATTTTGGTGTGAGCTGGGAAATAGCCTGATGTAAAGCTTAACACCTCCATCATTCATTCTTTCATTTCAATCCCCAGTGAATTAGTAGCATGGGTTATTTATGAGTTAGGCTTCCTTTGCCTTCAATCTTCTTGCAACTCTCCTGAGTATTTCTGAAAAATAAAACATATACTTAAATCAAAGAGTTTTGCTACTAAGTTTAATTAACTGGAATCACTGTTATTTTCATGTCTGGCCCATAAAGTTGGAAAATATTCTTTCTGCATGTCATGAAATCTCAGATTTAGCTGTAGCTCTCTACCCAGTTTATGGAGACTGACACTGAGGGACATCCTTCCATCTGTCTTCATCTATGCTACTGTACCATTTTTGATATGGAGATGCCATCATTCCTGGTGCTCCGTCTTCTGTCTTTAAGGAATCCAATTGCTTTATCAGTAGCTGCTGGTCTGCCTTTCAGTGCTTGAGTGTGCCTGTATTACTCATTCTGAAATTCTCAGATTGAATACTGCGAGACTCTCCCTTACTTAACCAGAGAGGGAAAGTTTATTTCTTTAAACTCTCAGTTTTCATTGTTCTTTCTTTCTTTTGGATGTCTCCCAGTTTATGCCTTTACTTCCAGTCATAAGGTTATTACTAGTCTCCAATGGAGGCATTTTTCACCGCAATCTGCTGATTTATTGTCCCTTCAATTCTTTCCATAGCACATTTGATAAAAATAATAATTGCAATCAATCAGCCTCAAGCTGTGTGTCAGGAGTTGGCTAGTTGTTTTATACACAATATATTTAGCCTACCAATAATCCTGCAAAGTCAGCATATTATTATCCTGGTCTAACAGTAAGGAAACGAGACTCAGAGAGGTTAAATAACTTGTCACAAAGTGAACAAATGGAGAATCTAGACTGAAACCCAGATCTCTTAACTTCAAATGTTAGACTTTTTCTAGGCTACCATTTTGCTTTTTCTTAAGAAACAGCGCCAGACACTTGTTAGATATTTAATAGCTGTCTGCTAAATTAATGCATAAATGAACATGTGGAATGTCCTATACACTTATTGCTATAGTGAAATGCTATAATTGGTCACTGGTAATACACTTGCTCAGTGGCCATAAGCAACTAGAAAAACTGAACAATATACACAATTCATCTGTTGTCAGACATTGGACAACACAGAATTGTGCTCCATGTGAGAAGGTAAAATAAGGTGAGCGCCACAATAAGGTGGGACAGGGAGGGGGACCCCAGGCAAAGGTTCACAGGTTCATTGAGTTGAGGGAACAGAGATAGGCATTTGGGGAGGCCTAAGTGACTTGAATTGCAGGATAGAGTACTATAGAGGAGGGAGGTAAGCCCAGAAAGAGATCCAGAAATATACATAGGGGTTCCCTTGAATCCAGCTGAATACTATCCTGTGCATGTGTAGAGTGGGACTCTCTGAGGTCAAGCAAAAACAAGTATCTGGCAAACGATATGTACCAAGGAGCTGTAAGCCAAACAACTCCTAGAGCCCACAAAGGGCTGGGAGTTCTAAATAGCCAGAGTGCAGAGACCTTGTTGAACATCTAGGGGATTCTGTAGAGACCCAAGAAAGTTCATGCCATTGTAGCAGAGTAGAGGATAACCTTACTCTAGACTTACCCTAACAAAGTTTAAAAACAAGCCTTGAAAACATCAAGCTGATTCACAAGCAAATTAAGTGCCTGACAAAACACACTTTCACACTCTTTAAAGGAAGGCAATAAAATCTAGATGTTCAATAATGTAAAATGTATAATGTCTAGCAATCAATAAAAATTTACTAGACATGCAAAAAACCAGAAAAATGTCACCCATAACTGGAAGAAAAGTCAATCAGTAGAAATAAGCCCAGAAGTTATAGAGATAATGGAATTAGCAGACAAGGACTCCAGACCTGCCATTATAAATATTTTCAAGGATTTAAAGAATAATAGAAACATATGGGTCAATAAATAAAAGATATAAAGAGAACCAAATGGAAATCCTAGAGATGAAAAATTTAATATCTTAAATGAAATGAGCTTAGTAACAGAACAAAAGATTAGCAAGCTTGAAACTATCCAAGTGAGAGCACATAAGAAAAAAAGCCATAAGAAAAAAAGAAAAACAGAGCCTCAGTGACATTGAGAAAATATAAAATAGTCTAATATTCATGTAACTAGAGACCCATACAGGGTGGTGGGTGGTGTGTGGTGGGAGAAAAATTATTTGAAGAAATAATTGACCAAATTTTTCCGAGAATCTCAAGAGGGTAAACACACACAAAAGATAAAACCAGCAAGCTACATCATAGCCAAATTGCTGAAAACTGGTAATAAGGAGAAAATCTTAAAAGCAGCCAGAGAAAAAGACACATTACATACAAAAGAGAAAAACTTAGAGTGACTATTGAATTCTCATCAGAAACATGCAGGATAGAAGACAATAGAACACCTTTAATGTGCTAAAAGTACAAAAATTGTCAAACTAAATGTCTATATCCAGAAAAAATATCCTTCATAAATGGAAGGCAATGAGACTTCCAGTGTCTGGTCTGACATGTAAAGACCTTATAAGTGGTCACTGCCATTTCACAGCAAGAGAAAGCTGAACAAACTGAAAATCAACAACTCCTCTTAGATTGATAAGAGAATTGAGGTCACAGGGCAAACGACCACCCTGAAAATTGGAGAGAGAGGTGAAGACAAAGAGTCACAGCTGGTGGGAGAAGCAGCAGAAGCCTGTTGCTGGAGCCTGTACCACTTACCACCACGTCAACTGAGCTACTGTATAATAACAGAGGACTACAGCTAAAAGAATTGCGAGATTCAGGCCCTATTTAAGAAGGAGTCTCTTAGGAAATCAAAAATAACAAGGAAGACAAAAATAAAATAATCAGAGGGAAGTTTAGCCTCTGACATCTACAGCTAGAGCAAACAGTAAGCACAGACTAACTCCTGGCTGGATAAACACTAAACCTCACACGAAAGACCTGTTTCTTTCGTTGCCTGTTTCTTTCGTTGCCTTTTACTTGATACATTATGTCTATCAATAAAAAACTAGAAGACACATGCAAAGGCAAAAACACAGTCTGCAGAGAGAAAGCAAACATCAGGACCAGACTCAGATATGGCAGAGGTTTTGGAATTATCAGACCTGGAAATTAAAAATAACTACAGTTAAAATGCTACGAGCTCTAACGGAGAAAGTGGACAATGTGCACAATTGAAAGGCAACATAAAGACATTTTCAAACAAGCCAAAGATGACAGAATATGTCACCTGCAGATCTGCATGAAGAGAAATGTTAGAGGAAGTTCTTCAGCCCGAGGGCAAATGACACCAGATGGAAACTGGGATCTGTAACGTGAGAGAACAGCACTGGAAATGGTCAATGCATGGATAAGTACAAAATACTTTCTTCTCATTTTAGACAATTTAAGAGAATACTGATTCTTTAAAATAAAAAATAATAACAGTGTATTGTAGAGTTTATAACATATGCAGAGGTAAAATATATGATGAGTATTAAAAAGTAAGGGAGAGGGAGAAATGAAAATATATTGCTATCAGCTTCTTACATTATATGTGAAGGAGTTTAATCTTATTTGAAGGTGAGCTGTGTTAAGTTAAAGATGCATACTATAAATTCTAAAGCAATAGTTAACTAAATAAAACAAAATGTTATTGTTAATAAACCAATAGAAAAGATAAAATGCAGCACTAGTAGTTATGGGATTAATCCAAGAGCAATCAGAAAAAAAGGATAAAAGAGACCAAAAACAGGTGGGATGAATAGAAAACAAATATCAAGATGGTTGCCTTAAACACAACCATATTGATAAGTACTTCAGAGGTAAATGGTGAAAATATATCCATACTCAAAAAGAAAATAACCTAACTGAAATTACTAACATATTTCATAAAATCATATATTCATTGAATGTCAAAGTCACACTGACCTAAATTTAGGATAATGTTCGCCAAATTCCTCTCATTTTTCAGGGCTAGTTCTGGAAGGTGCTGTACCGAGATGCAGGAGGGCTAACCGTGGTGGGAAACAGTAGGTTAGCTGTCGGTGTTCCCATCAGAGTGCTGGCCAAGACCAAGGGGATGGAGATACATCAAATATGGAATAAATGACCCATTACAGAAACAAAGATTGACGCAACTATATCTATGTTCTTTCTTGTATTTTATGTATATATATATTGACCAATTCTTTCTTTTTTTTCCTTTTCCCTTACTCTTAATATTTTCTATGAGTATTGGTGGTAGTCGCCTTTCTTTTCAGTTTTTGGGTTATAGAATTCCCAGGTGGAATTGGCTCATGGATATGGTAGTTAGTGGGGCTTTATGTCTCCTAGTTTTTGAAAAAAATGAGACGATCTTTGTGTTAGGAAGAAGTGTGTCTTGTTGTGTAGAATCATGATTCCGTTATCGATGGAAGTTAAATATGGCTAAAAGCGTAGGAGAGGACCTGGGTTGCTAAGGGGTTGAATTAAGCTGATTGTTTGCCTTTTGCTGCTAGCCCCCTTCCACGTTTTCCATGCTCAGGTCTGTATCACAACAGGCTAGACTTCTGCGAACTACACTTCCCAAACTCCCTTGAGGGCTGGCCTCTCTGTCTATCTAACCAGTGGGAGGTATTAGCAGCAGATTGTAAAGCAGGGGTAGACACGGGGTAAGGAGATAGGTAGGGGGTCAGGTCATTGCTCTTGTGTTTCTGCTTCTGGTGCTGTCTCGGCGGAGATGGGTGGCTGTGTGCAGCACCTGCCTTCAGTGGATCTAGCTGCAGCAGAGCTGGCGGGCGATTGCTAGCAACTGCCAGGGGTTGCGGGCCTCAGTGGTATCATCAGTAGGTTGGGCCATCGTGGCTGCAGCAGCAGAAGTAGTAGCAACCATCTCACTTGGTGCTCCTAGGCTCTGCTCACACCACCTCCTTCCTTTTGGGCTCCAGCTCTACGGATGGTAGCAGCTTCCCACAGTTACTGATCTCTGGGATTATTTACCGTCCTCTTTCGGCTTCCTTTTCTTTCAAATGCTTTTAGAACTGGGTACCTGCGTTACCATCCCCCCTCCTTGTCCCCATTCCCCATTTGAAATCACTAGTGTGGTTTTGATTTTCCTGACCAGACCCTAACCGATAGAGGGGACATGACAGATGGAAACAGAGTTAAGCTCCTTCTAAAGAGTTTCCTAATATCTCCCCAGCAGGATAGACCAATTTGTGAGGTACTTAGCACACCCATCTCTGTGGCCTCGCCTCCTCTCCTCCAGCCTCCCCGACTCTCAGGTCTTTGAGCATGTTCGAACAGGTAACACACGCCTAGCATTCAAAATATTAAAGCTGGGATGCATTTAATAGGTATTGAGATGGTTAATATGAGCTTAAATGTTCCTTCTACTCCTAATACTTTAAAACGTTGGTTCCCACTCTGTGGATTACTGTGAGATGCTGTAGATTTTTTTTGAAAGGGATCTATAAATCCACATATGCACAAGAATTTGTATGCTGAAAAAAATGTCTACCATCTCAAAGTATTACCATTTCCTTACATAAGTGTACTAGCTACTCTTAGGATTAGTACAATGCAAATTAATTTATGCATTAAATGAATACACAGTTACTTTTATAACTGCAGTTTTAAAAATCAACATAAACTAATAATACTATTTTTCTTATTATGACGGAGTAGATCCACAAATTCTTTTCTGTTTAAATGGGAGCACTTTTACCTGAAAGGGCTGGAAACCACAATACTAGAGCTCTGACTTTCAAACAGGGCATAGTTGCAAATTCAAGGGCCTCAGTGGCGCTGTTCTAAAGCCTGCAGTGTTTGGAGGATAATTTTCCCAGACACGTCTTTGATTAACAAGATTTTACTTATTTAAGCTATAGGATTACTAAGTAACTCAGATTCAATATACTTAGTCATCTGGGAATTCCATAATGAATGGGCTTTTGTTGGCAAGATAATTAATTTTATGAACAAGTGCAGTTTGTGTTTCCTCCTCAGAAGGAAATTTTAGTTCTACCCTACGAACCCAGGGAGAAATCTTTGAGAATAGTGGTGCAATGTGACTCTAAGATGAGCTTATGAGATACT